GAGTTTATTTGATAAGAAAAGGGCACGTTAGTATTTACAAGACTCATAAGGTATTTCACCTTCATTCCTTTCTTCAAACTGCCACTGGATGAACCTCTGGGATTCTCAATCATAACATATCCATTTGTTTGAGAGACGGGGGAAAAGGTTATGGATCAATGTGAATCACTAGCAACTTATAGCACATACACTGAGTGATTTAAATGCTTTGATCTGTCAACCAAGTCAAGTTCAAGTAAGGGACCTTTAAAGGCCTGAGCCATGTTCTGGTCATCATCAGCATTATGAAAGCACCCTCTTTGTTTAGCATCATTCACTACCTTTCTCCATACTGAGCCACTTTTTTCAAGAGTTTCTGCATTCCCCAATATCCAAAGACAATGTCTGCCCAAAAAAAGAAAAATCTAATCAACTCAAGATTAGTGGAACTTCTCAAGCCTTGATTTTCTGCTTCAGTTGAGAGATTTTCTTCTTTTTTTTTTGAGTAGACAAGCAGAGCTTGCGGGCAGGGATCGAACCTTGTTAAAGGCCACCAACAGGTGGCTACCATGCCACTGTGCCACACAGGGGTTGACAGAGATTTTCATTTTTAGATCAGCTAGAAGGCATATCTAGAGGAAGATAAGTTTCCAAGGGTAGAAGATTGGGAAAATTGAGGAGAAGTTCCCCATTAAAAATTTTCATTGGTGAGAAGAACCTGATAAAATTTTATAATACAGAAAGTACCAATACTTCACAAATTTTGGACATAGAATGCCAGTACACTCAGTTAGGTCCTTCTCACCAATAAATTTTCAATGGGGACTTTTGCCCAATTTTTTGTAGAAAATTTATGTCGCTCAAGATGAAGTTTACCTACAAGCAACTTGTGCTGATGAACGACTTTACCTATTATATTTATAGATATGAGTTTAACCAAGAATTTCTCAAGCATAATATATATATGCTATTTTGCTCACAACAACATACCTAGCACGAGTTAGAGCCACATTTGCTCTTTGTCTATTAGAAAGGAACCCCACATTTCCCCTCTTATTTGATCTGACAGTGGAGATCATTATTATATCTTCTTCACCACCTTGAAAGCCATCAACAGAACGAACGCTCACTGAAAAGCTAGGATCTGAATCCATATACTGCTTAACTTTCTCTTGGATTTCATGGACTTGAGCGTTATATGGAGATATTACCCCTATGCTGAGTTTTCTTCTCTTGCTCAGGAACTCTAGCAGAAAAACATGGGATCATGTTAGGAGTCCCATATTGAAGAGTGTCAAAAGTGAAATACAGTCTATAAGTTTAAGAGGATCTCCTACCCCATAAGCTAATCTTTCAGAATGGGCTTTTTTTTCTTTTTAAAGACTTGTGTTCATGAAAAATCATTCATATATTCATAGTATTCTTCTCAAGTAGATTGCGCCCAGCCAATTACTAAGTAAGTATCAACAAAGAATTAGGAAGAAACACACAAACCTTTGTGCAGGCCTTTTATAATCTCAGAGATAGCAGCAACTTCCACCATGTTCTTCAAGCTGTGTCCATGACCAAATTGCTCTTTGCCCTGAGCTATGTTTATAAAAGAATAGGAGCCAAACATTTTTCCTTCAAGGAAACGTTCACTATAGCTTGAATCACTGACATTCACACCATTGATAAGTTGCCCCTCATAGAATTCCCTATTGGGGAATCCACTAATGCACGGATGCATTCTAAATTGCACATTAAGCATATGCTTCATGAATCCCAACAACACCAGTCTCTCAAACATGCTTCTTCTAAATCCAGCTTCATCAGAAATCTGAAATTTGATTTTCATAAACATACAAGATAGTGACCTTTGGTAATATCCACCAACACAGAATACAAATTAATGTAAAAAACTAATCAACACAAAATCTTAAGCTATTTAATGAAGGTTTATCAATAATTTTATTATAACCCCTCCTTATACGTTAAAGCACAATGCATTAATAGAGTGGAGAAAGCAAAACCCACCTTAGCTTGTACTTAATTTAAAATTAAGAAAAAGGGATAGCAAGGATCAAAATTCAAACCACTTATTCATATAAGCACTACCTTATCCATAACAACTTGAATTTAAAGTTATAAGTTGTCGGGTGAATAACCATGAAAATTTCATCATAACCTCTAACAAGACATAATGACAACTCATTACCTTGCTCATGACCATTGCAGGAAGTTGCCTCTCATCACCTATGAGAACAGCATGTCTTGCACCTGGCAGTTGCAGAGGTATGGTTGATTCACATTCTCTGAGTTGAGCAGCCTCATCTATAACTATAAAGGGTATAGGTGTCATTCCTTCAGTGAACAATTTGGTAGAACCTGATGCCGTACAAAATATTAGGCATGCCTTCTTCAAGCAAATATCCATTATTTGAGAGCGTCTTTCCAGTTGAGGAAGTGAAATTGACTGAGAAAGTGATCTAAGTATGCTAAGGCACTCATCTCTTTTCATGCTTAACTTTCCAAAGCAAAATTTGACATCTTTGATTGGAATATGTGTTTCCACAGGCATAAGCCAACGTATGATGGGCTTGAGAAATATTTGAATTATCCTATTGCAGGCGGCAAATAAACACCAGTTCTTCCCTATCACATTTGGAACTCCTGGTTGAATGACATTACTTTTTGCCTCTACATTTTCTGTGGGAATCTCTATGAACTCGTTTTGGTGTAATGAATTTCCGAGGTCTTCAAGCAAATCAAGAACTACGCGTATGTTCTGCGCCACCTCAAATGGAACAAGGGAAGTTGGTAACTGTGAGTATAATGTTTGCAAGCTGGACTTGAGATTCACACCTATGAAACTGAACCTCCTCTTTATAAAATGAACTTCATCTACATAAGAAAGGTATTGGTCATTGATGTAACTGTATCTCATCTTCACAAATTGCTCCAATGTCACATGATCACCTTTATCTTCAAGATGCTTGTATGAAAGATAAGCTTGCTCTACATTTCTGTAATTAAGCTTAGTAAATTCTTCTAATGACATAAGATCATTATTCTCCTCATGTTCCGCATTGAGATTAAATAGAAGACACTGCTCACGAGGGTTCTCAAGCAAACTGATCATTGATTCCAAGTTACGCTTCCATCCAGTCAGTGGAGAAAGACATTGCTCAAGCATATCAACACGATAATCAAGAAAAATGTCAGGGAGACCCCAGTAATCATCAACTTTCATTCGAGAATTATTCCCAAAGAGCACTATGTCACCCACCCCATAGGCATCAAAATGAGGCCGATCTTTAACTATACCACACAGGCGGGCTGCCACTTCCAACACAGCAGTATTGGTCGGAGCACATGTTAATGTTCTGGTTTTCAGCTTGAGCAGTGCAAACAGCAAGGATGCAACTGTCTCAGTTTTGCCAGTCCCAGGAGGGCCCCATATAAGTTTGACAGGGTGATTGTGATGACATTTCCTGATTGCGACAGTAGTTAGTACAGCATCTTTCTGGCTTTCATTCAAATTCTGAGATCTGATGATGTTTGTTGTCATAGAAATGTCTGCATTATAGTGCTCTAATGAAGGGCATATGTGACTACTCTTTCCAATCTGTAAAATAAGACGTGATAAAAGCTTCAACATGGCTGCTTTATTACTATCTGCAGAACAAGTTACTGTGTCTATGTACTGTTTGAGTGAGCTATAATAAGAAAAATGACTTCATTCTTATCAGCACCTCCAGCAGCATAGCATGCATATTAATTAAAAAACATTTGATTCAGGTAAAATTTGGTAGACAAGGATTGTACTACTTACTTGAGTATAGGACATGTGAAAAATTCAAAAGTCATTTGTTTTATTTTGTATGTCTCAATTATTGTCTATCGATATATGTTCTCTACATTGTATATTAACAGTAGACCAAATACTTGTTAAAAAATGGGTGCTCACATGTTAAAAGTGACCTGATTCTTACCAATTTGTCAGATTGCAGAACTTTTCCAATAATATTCAAGTTTGCACCCTCCAACTGTGAGTTCAAAGCCTTCCAAATACGAATATTGGTCGTCAAATTGATAAGATACACGGCATAAAACGTTTGCACATTGTTGCTTCTCATACCTGGATCAATCTCCATGCTCTTTGATGAGAGTATTGTGATCTGACCATTTTTTGACCCCTGAACATAAGCAACATGATAAAATCTTCCAGGTTTGTTGAAGTCTTCAATGCCTTTTGGCCTACCATCGGTGAGGGCGATGAGGTCCCCAGATGCAGGTTCATATCGTCCACCATGAATCTCATCAAATGTCAATTGATAGCGCAAACCCTTACCCATCCTCTTATATGCCAGGATTTCACAAGTAGGGGCTTGGGAAATGCCCTTCAAGCTTGAACACAGATCACTGTGTGTTTCCTCAATCAGTGAAGGAATAAAGGATTTCATGTATTCTGTTGCTGGTAAAAATGTCAAAGGAATCTTTGGCACCTGAAAGACATCATCGTATTAAGTGTACTTGAAATGTCATAACATCCCTCTCAGAAAAGAAAAGACAGAGTACTAGCAGGTCTATAGACCAGAAACAAATGAAAATAGATAAGAACTGGAAGGATTAGTTGCTTAACGCAACTTTTGTGTAGAGTGCGAAACTTGCATATGAGTTTAGCCTTCACTTTCAAACTTAGGATAACTTGTTGCTTTCCTGTACTTGTTCTTGGTTTGTGTTTCGATCATGAGGTGTTTTCCCAGGTTGTGTTTTCTGTTTATGTATTGCTTGCACGTTTCATAAGATGTAGCAAAACGCTAAGATTCAACTGAAACATAAGGATCAAATTAAAAAGGAAAAAAAAAAAGGATCTTCATGGCCTCTCATGAGCCCAACACTTCACTTTCCACGGTTAATGAAAAAGAAAAAGAAAGAACAGAAAATGAAATGTAGAAGCTCAGATCAACATTAAAGAACACAGATTTTCAGTCAAATATAACCTGACATGCTTAAAAGGGGATGAAGCTGAGGAAAACCTTGTCTTTATAAAGATTTTGGTCAAGAACATCGCTGAATGTCCAAGAGAACACAATATCTACCAAGCTGGTTCTTCCCTTTTCCTTTCCCTTTCCATGGGAATTCCTCTCCATGATTTGATCACTTGTTGGTTCGTTCTAAAGCTAAAACACTGGATCACTCTCAGCTTTTCTTGGTGTGGTCTCGTTCAGCACAAAGCAAAGAGCACAAGTGTACGAACGGGCTATAGTTTAGCAAATGATGAAGAGTCTTTGAGATGGCAAAGATGAAAGATGCGAAGAGGTTGACGACAAGTCAATGAATAGCACAAAGCAGAAACAATAATGACTGCTTTATAGCCATGTTTCGAATACCAAGTGACGTCTAATTGCTTCTCTTCACGGTTTCGGTGTTCAAGGAAAGCAGCCAACTTCAAGCCTAAGAAAAATGAAGACCGTGAATGATGTTGTGTCATTTGTCACAGAACGTAGGCCATATTGGGTAGTCCAAAAGACGAGAGTCGGCAAATGGACTGGACGTTTTACTTTTCAAAAGCAGTATCTAATGGCTAAAAAAGAAAAGAAAGAAAAGAAAGACTTGTAGTACGAACTCTCACTCTCCCTTGACTTTATGTAACTGCAGGGCCGAAGAGTATTAAATATCAATCTACGATATAAAAACTTATTTAATTTTTATTTTAATTTTAAAGGTAAGATTTTAATTTATTTTATCCCACATATTTATCTTCTTTTTTTTAAGATAGTCCTTGTAATAATAGTGGTTCTAACCAATACACTTAATTAGTAAACATATTTTAGAAAAGACAATACTTATTTATTATAAATAATTAACTTAACTAATTTTTTTAATTTACTCAAATTAGTCAACTAATTCTTATATTAAGGACCAGAGGTAGTATTATGTTGGGTGCAGTGTAGTTAATAAAAATAATATTAAAAATAACTTAAATTTTACTATGGGAAAATAGCAAAAAAAAAACCGTGAAATTAGAAAAATTACAAATTGGGACTTATGACAACATTAGACATTAGTATGGGTTTTGACAACAATTTTTATGAATTAGTCCTTGTGTGTAATTTTTCTAATTCCATGGTCTTTTTTTGTAATTTTCCCTTTTACTATCCTTGATACTTAATATAAGAGCTAATTGACTAATTTAAGTAGATTGAAGAAGTTTGTTAAATTCGTTATTTGTAATAATTAGGTATTATCTTCATTAGAATATCCTTGTTAATCGTGTGTATTAACTAGAACTATATTTGTAATTACCACAAGGACTATTTTGAAAAAATAAATAAATATGAGATACAAAGTAGATTAGAGTCTTATATTTAAAACCAATTGAATGTGAAACTAGCTCTTTTATTAAGAATCAAAAGTAATATAACAAATTTAATGATTTTACCTATTTTTATTGATACATATAAATTAGTTGGAAATGATTTATAAAAAGTATGAAAGAGAGTGCATTTCTACTGTTATTTATAAGTTATTTTTAACATGTTTCATGCAAATAAAAATATTTTAAATTTCATTAGCTTTTTCTGAAAATTTAACATTTTTTTAAACTTTATCTATATTTAATATATATACTTTTCAATAAAATAATAATATAAATAAAGAATAAAATAGTATATTCAAATTAAAATTTTAGTAAAATAATTTATAAATAAGATAAAAAATTAGCTCTATCTTATAAATTAGACTAGAACTAGTACATAGTTCAAATACATCATATATTAAGAATAAGATTTTTTTTTTGGGAAAGTGGAATCTTTAGTAGCACCTCAGTTCCCCGGGGGAGGGGAAGCTCCTCAGACCTTCATGAGGGGAGTATGTAGATTTTATATCAGAAAAAGACAACAAACAGAGTATGAGGAAAAAAAATTAATGCAATGAGATTAACTAATAATTAATCGAGATAAAAATGAAAAACAATACTAAAAATTTTAGATAGGCTATTAGTGGATACTATAAATAAAAAAATTATTAAAAATTTAAGAATTAGCCATCAAAAGAAAGATCTTATTAAATGAAAATAAACATGGAAAGAATGTGCATTTTTTAATGACACTGACTGATTTATTGTTCCATTACGAGTTAGAAATGCTTTTCAATTTTAAATAGATTATCATTCCTTAAATTAGGAGCAGTAATTAAGAATATTTAAATGTAAAGTAGAAGTTCAAATACTAAATAGAAAGTATTTGCAGAAGTATTGTTTAATTTTCTAACATAGTATCTGGCAAAACAAATTGTAACACAATAGGGATAATTGCTTAATATTAATGAGTTAGATATTTGTTCTGTATACTCAACTGGAGTAACTTGCGAACAAATCAAAACCTATAAGACTTTTTTTTTTTTTTCGACGGGAGGTGGGTGTTTCATTTCTTTTTTCTTCCCATGGAAACTTCTAAGAATTACTATTAGCTCTCAAATGATTTTGTTCTTAAATTATTTAGCACTACAAATCTCTGAAAATTAAACTTTTTATATAATTTTTAAAGATTTTATTAGATGGGACCAATGGATGCCTTTTGTTCTCTCCAGTTCATTCGCATCAACTTGAATTGCTTAAGCATCCTCTCCAAATTCCGAAGTTCTGGCTTGCTAATGCCAGCAATTTTTAGTGGTGTTCCTGTGCTACATTATTACAAATCTTGGATGTCTTCTATTTTCATTTCAGGGTGATTTCAAAATTAGATAAAGTTTTTAAAAAACGATAGAAAAATACTTGTTGAATTTTTTTAAAAAAATAAATAGATTATGCTTGGCTTCTCGTAATAGTTTTGACCACTCTTGTAGTAATTTTAACATGTCAAAATCTGTAAAAATCACATATTTGCCATTTTAAAATTCAACAAGTATTTTTCTGTCATTTTTCCTAAGCTTTTTCACATTATTTTTAAAAAATATAAATAGTCATATTATATGTATATGGAAAAGTTCATCAAAATTAATTAAATATAATAACTAAGTAAGAAAATTATATTTTTTATTTTATACAAATTAAACAAATGCAAGCTCACAAAATCTCTACGCGAAACTAGAGCATAGGACTCTATTCCAATGTAGTGGATATTAACGATTTATACTCGTAATTCATAAATTTTAATTAATATCAATCATCGATCAATTAGTAAATATAACAAGTCGAAAATTAGTTGTCATAAATCTATCGAAGGAAAAATAATTCACAACCATTTTCTTAATTTATATTACGTATGCTTTATTAAATTTAAAATTTTCAATGAAATAGCAAATAAATTCAATTTTCATAACATTCACTAATTATGTCATTTAAAAATTAGTAAATTTATAGAATAAAAAAATTATTGGCCAAAGTTTATTAATTTGCATTATAAATATGTGAATTTTCTTCAAACATTGCCACTTGCTAGACCCAAATGGTTAATAGTAAATCATTTAGCTTCACCATTCAAGTTGGCTGATGTTGCTGTTGTTGTTGTTGTTTTTTTTTTTGCCAACAAGTTGGCTAATTTTATATGGAATAATGGTTAAAGGGGGAATGAATAACATCTATATATTTCTCTTGGAGGTTTTCTATTTGTTTTAATTTTTTTTATGATAATGGTATCTTTGATTATTTAGCAAATTTATTCATAACTATGTAAGCAGATACAATGCTCCCCTATGGTTGCATAGAGAGGAAGTTTTTGTAGAGGAAATTGGAAACAAACAACAATTTGGCTCAAGTCGTGCTGGTAGAGACTGTCCTTAAGAATTATTCTGTCACCATAAGTAAATATGAATGCAGCACTCCCCAGGATTAAACGAATCCTTCCTGCAAGACACAGGGTGACAGAACAGTAAAAACAAAATATAACCTAGGAGCAAAAACAGAGAAGGAGCAGAGAAATGCAGAGGAGGGATGGATGCTCGAAAGCTCAAGAGCGGTGTACTCAACACACTGTCCGGACTGCTTTATATAGGCCTTAGAGGATATCTAATCGTTGGGCACCATAAACACAATTAAACCGTCAATTTCATACCTTTCCACAATAAACTGTATTTATACCGCTAGTTATGAACGTTAGGTACATTTAAAAGATAAATTTCAGACGTTACCAGACATTAACCCATGGAAAACAGTTTTAAGGATTAATGATAAGATGACCCCGGTTTAATAACAAGTGAAACTCCCTAACATCCAGTAACCTCCGGCCAATCAAAAAATTAAACAGTTAAAATAAGAATTTGCTGATAAGCTCTCTTCACACAATTTTATAATTTATTTTTGCAAAAGTATTTTGTAAAAAGTACCTAGTGCTATTTTAATTCACACGCAGGGGGGAAATCTCCAGTTTTCAATTGTGTTTCCCTCCGGCGGGCCATTGTCGTGCGCACGAGATCCTCATTCTCCTCTAGGCCCATTCACTAACCCAATAATATATGATAGCATTTATACCCTTGAGTCCCTCTCTCTTGGACAATGTGAGACTTCACTTTTGACACACCCACTCATATACACAATAGTTCTAATTATGTTCTTCAAAATTGTTGACCAAAATGCACGTCACAAGCATTCGTTTCTTTCAATTCAAATTGCCTTTTGTAGGAAAGCCTAAATTAACAACCATAATAGCACAATATACTAACATGTACATATCAAATTTATAGTAGCTTTCTCGCTGTTTAATATATAGGTTGACTTTTACCATATATGATCTTGCTGTTGATTGCTGTCATTCTTGGTCATCTTTGGTGCTCAGAGTAAATATTTCAATCATTATATATATACACATTAATTTCATGTGACAGATCAAAAACAAAAACACATTACAAACACAACAAAAAGGTTGTTCACCCTCCTTGATTCCTTCCATCACCACCTTGGTTTCCACATACTGCCACTAAATGAAACTCTAAAATCCAATTATCATGTGAACAAGCAATAATATCGGTCAACATATTTTTTCAAGCCAAAAAAAAAAGTCAACATATTCATTTGTGTTTGTGAGTTGAGGGAAAAGTTAAGGATCGATTGTGAGTTACCTAGAACTTCTAGTACTTGTTTTTAATTTTTTTTTCCCTTGTCCCTTAGACTGAGTGACTTGAAAGGCCACTTTGATTCATAGACTAGTTCAAGCTCAGTACGAAGTCCTTAATGGCTTGAGCCAAGTTCTTGTCATCATCAGCATTATGGAAGCACCCTCTTTGCTTAGCATCATTTGCTAACTTCTTCCAGACAGAGTGACTATGATT